CACCGCAGCCTCGACCTACTGGGCTCCAGCGATCCTTTCCGCCTCAGCCTTCCAAGTAGCTGGAACTACAGGTGCGCACTACCACGCCCGACTAATTTTTGATTTATTGTCGGGATGAGGTCTCGCCAAGTTGCCCAGGCGGGTCTCGAACCTGCGGGCTCAGGCAATCCACTTACTTCGGCCTCCCAAAGGCGTGGGATTATAGGCTGAGCTACCGAGCCCGGCTAATTTTTTTATTTATTGTAGAGACCAGGTCTTGCCAGGTTGCTCAGGCTGGTCTCGAGCCCCTGGGCTCAGGCAAGCCTCTCACCTCCGCTTCCCAAAGTGCTAGAATTATAGGCGTGAACCACTGCACCTGGCCTGATCACCTTTATTCAACTTTCTGTCTGTGTGAAAGTGCCAGTTATAGCCACCTCATATCAGTGTTTTTAAGCCAGATTGGAAAATGAAGAAAATGGTGAGTAAACACGCGTCTTCCCAAGATATTTGGCTGTGAATACAGGATAGGTGGTAGCTGAGATGAGGGTGGACACTTTTTGGCTTTGTTTTGTGTTTTAAGATGCCTGTAGTTTGAGCTTAAGCGTCTAAGTTGAGCGTTCCCAGCTCAGAAAGAAGTTGAATATCTCAGGCCTGCAACGTCATGGTGAGCTCATGGCACTATGTTTTGGGGTGGAGAGGTGACAGGGGAGAGGGGATGCTGGACCTGGGGGCAAGACTATGAATGGAATCTTTTGCCAACACAGGTTTTTTTTGTGAGTAGGAGTCTCATTCTATCACCCAGGCTGGAGTGCAGTGGCACGCTCACGGCTACTGCATCCTTGACCTGCTGGGCTCAGGCGATCCTTCTGCCTCAGTCTTTCAAGTAGCTGGAACCATCGGTGTGTGCCGCCACCTCACCTAAACTTTTTTTGTAGAGATGAGGTCTCGCCAAGTTGCCAGGTTGGTCACGAACCCTGGGCTCAGGCAGTCCTCTCACCTCAGCCTCCCAAAGTGCTGGGATTATAGGCGTGAGACACTATGCCCAGCCAACTTTAATAATATCACCACCAGGATTTTAATAACTTTGTCAGGCAGTGGGTTAGGTGTTGGACATAATTCTTTCATAACAATGAAGCAAGGCAGGTACTATCTCAATTTTACTGGTAAGAACTTCAGTTGAGAAAAATAATTTGCCAACAGCCAATTTTTAGTGGGTAGGCTTAAAATGCCTGAGATATGAACAATTTTGTGAATGTCTGTGTGTAAGGGCAAACACGTTTTGTCCTTTAAACTGTGATGGGGGTGTTACTTGGTTTCACTTGGTGGCTCTGGGCAGCTGTAAAGATGCCGATGGGTAAGGTGGGAGAGTCTGGTGAAGTTAGGTATAGAAAGAATGGAAGGCGAACAAAGCCAGTCAGCCTACTTTGACTAAGAAATAAAATTTGGCCATGCCTTTGGCAAACCAGGGGAAAAGCCTTCCAAGGACTTCAGGAGCCATGGGACCAGGCCCAGGATTGGCTATGCAAAGCAAACAGCAGGCATATAGCTATGCTTAAGAGTACAGAGAAGACAAGCAGTAAGTGACCACAAACCTGGTGACTGGAGTCCAGCACCCACTGTAACAAATGGGGACACCCTTAGGAGAATTGTCAATGCTCCTGGAAGACAGGAGGGCTAGTTACAGGGAACTTAATGAGTAGAAAAAATATTCTGGGTTAAGTCAGAATATCTTGAACTAGATTAGTTCAGTAATGATTAGTTGACATTCTTAGGTTAAAAGACTTTTTGTTTTTGAGTCAGAGTCCTGCTCTGTGCCACTTCAGGCTGGAGTGAAGTGGCACGATCACAACTCACTGCAGCCTCCAACTTCTGACCTTCAGGGATACTCCTGCATCCGTCTCTCAAGCAAATGGGGCTATAGCTATGCTCCACCACACATGGTTCATTATTAAAATTTTTTTGTAGAGACGGGGTCTTGTTATGTTGCCCAGGCTGATCTTGAACTCCTGGGGGCTCAAGCAATCCTCCTGCCTCAGCCTCTCAAAGTGTTGGGATTACAGGTATGAGCCACCATGTCCGGCCAAAAAGCTATTTTCATTCCTCAGTTACAGTCAGAATATTTACAGAAATATTTATTTTAAAAGTAGCATTTTGCCAGGTGTGGTGGCTCACACCTGTAATCCCAGCACTGAGGGATACAGAGGCAAGAAGATTGCCTGAGTTCAGGGATCTGAGACCAGTCTGAATAACAAGGCGAGATCTCATCTCTACAATAAATCAAAAAAGGTTGGATATAGTGGTATGTGCCTGAGGTTTCAGCTACTTGGAAGGCTGAGCTGGAAGAATCACCTGAGCTCAGCAGGTTGAGGCTGCGGTGGCTGTGAGTGTGCCACTGCATTCTAGCCTGGGTGACAAGAGTGATACTCTGACTCAAAAAAAAAGGAAAAAGTAGCATTAAAAAAAAGAAAGTGACTTAGATTGTTATTACTATCTATGCCATCACTCTATTAAGCCAAACACACTTTAGGCAACTTCAAGTTCAAAAATTATTAATGAGGTACAGAAGTCCAACCAGTATGGGGTAGATGTGTTCCAAGTTAGAGTGGACAGCATGGCTCCTCAGTCTCCCACAGAGCACCTGTGTTCCCTTGTAATCAAAGTTTTCTTCCCATGAATCTGAATGTGACCTTTTAGATCCTTGGGATATTGGCTGGTTTAGTCTCCTGACTCTCATGGTGTGCTAGATAGGATAAGGTGGTTGCCTAGGAGGTCAATCCAAGCTACCAGGTCCCCCCCATCGTAGGCCACAATTATTCACACATAAGGGTCAAGAGGGCTGACCAATCAGGAGGCTGGGAAAGCTTGTTCAAAGGAGGAACCGTCATTCTAGTGTAAACTGTCCTTAATCCTACTGCAGAAACTGTTTTCGTTCTGGGGTTGGAGAGTCCCAGATGTCCTAAGTGGCTTCCTCTGAGAGTTGATATCCAAGAGAGAACTATCTGGCCACTTGCTTTTTACTACATTTCTAATAGTTGCTCCATTTCTTCAAGAGCTGTTGTGAAATCATTTACTTGACTGCTACATGAAGTTTGTTGTTCTAAGAATCGGACCCTTTCTTCTTCTTTCATCTTCAACTTTACCTTTAAGGCCTGCATGGGAAGACATTCCAAGAGGAAAAAACAAAAACATAAAACTCTTGATTCACAAGGAAGACAACACCCACACCAGAACATTATGCTTCCATTCCACTGAGGAAGAATACTGGAATACCAACAGATATTGTATTTTCTTCTCTTTTCTTTTTTGAGTAGGAGTCTTAACTCTGTCGCCCAGGCTGGAGTGCAGTGGCATGCTCACAGTCACCACAGCCTTGACCTGCTGGACTCAGGTGATCTTTCTGCCTCAGTCTCCCAAGTAGCTGGAATTACAGGCACGCACCACCACATCCAGCTCATTTTTTTTTTTGAGTTGGAGTCTCACTCTGTTGCCCAGACTGGAGTGCAGTGGCCGCTCCCAGCCACCGCAGCCTCAACCTGCTGGGCTCCGGCGATTCTTCCGCCTCAGCCTTCCAAGTAGCTGGAACTACAGGCACGCACCACCACACCCGGCTAATTTTTTTGATTTATTGTAGAGATGAGGTCTCGCCAAGTTGCCCAAGCGGGTCTCGAACCCACGGGCTCAGGCAATCCACTCACCTCAGCCTCCCAAAGGCGCGGGATTATAGGCTGAGCCACCGAGCCCGGCTCAATTTTTTGATTTATCATAGAGACGAGGTCTTACCAAGTTACCCAGGCTGGTTTTGAACCCCTGAGATCAGGCAATTCTCTTGCCTCAGCCTCCCAAATTGCTGGGATTATAGGTGTGAGCCACCACACCTGGCAGATATTGTATTTTCTATCTTAGGTTTAACTCTGCTAGTTTTAGAAAACATCTCTCTACACTATAGACTCTTGTATCTAAACTGAAGCAATGAAATCCTCTAGGTTCAGTGCAATATCCCATGATTCATACAAGCAGTCTGAAGCAGCCTAGACCCGAGAATTTGTGTTTCTCACTACAGGTCTCCTACTTGAGATACCAAGTTTCCACAACATAATAAGTCTCAAGTCCCAACTTTGAGCAACCTATTATGTAGTAGATTGCCTCATGCCCTGGAGATGTGAACATTTCCAAGAGTCTTCAGAAGCAAAAAAGAAAATTAGTGAAAAAAACTGGTAAAATACAAATGAAGTCTTGGAATTTAGTTAACAGTAAAGTATTAATATTGGTTTCTTTAGTTTTGACAGTGGACCAGGATAATATATTATTAGAGAATTAAATTTTCTGCATTATCTTTGCAACTTTTTAGAAAAAAATCTAAAATTATTTTGAAATAGAGGTTCGGCAAGGTGACTCACACCTGTAATCCTAGCACTTTGGGAGGCTGAGGTGGGAGGATTGCTTGAGTTTAGGAATTCCAAACCAGCCTGGACAAAACATCTCTAGAAAACATAATTAGCTGGGCATGGTGGCACATGCCTGTAGTCCAACCTACTCTGAGGGGCCAAGGCAAAGGATCACCTGAGCCCAGGAGGTTGAGGTTACAGTGAGCCATGATCGTGCCTTTGCTCTCCTGCCTGGGCAACAACAAAAATAAAAACAGGAGAGAAAGACTTCTCCATAAATCTACCAATTGTAGTTAGAAATGATAATCCTGCTTCAGGGTAATATCTGCCTCTCACCTGTAACTCTTCCATCTGCTTTTTGGCTGTTTCGTTAAAAAGCTTCAGCTCATCTTGCAAAGTTTCTAACAGCAACTAAAAGGAAAGTACAATGTAGTAAACACATCTTCATATAAAAGGAGAGTTAGGTGATGGGTAACATCCCTTCCATTCACTCAGGCACTTATTGAGCAGTCACTGCACGTATAAGGCTCTCTAGTGGGTCCCTTTGAAGAACTTAGTCCACAGAACAGCCAGATATCCCACTGATGATGTGTTCTGTGTACAGACTATCTGAACGAACTGTGGTAGCCAAAGAAGTTTCCACATCTACTATTCTGATTCCAAGATGACAACATATCTTGGGTAAGAGATCACAAAATTTGAGTGACTCTAAGCCCAATTACTTTCCTTCTTCAGGGAAGAAACCAAAAAGCAGCTGAGAATTCAAATGCCACAGGTTGGACCTTTGCATCATGCGGTTCTCAGCAAAGGAGTAAGGGGAAAAACTTGGTAAAGTGTTGAAAGAGCCAAGCACAGTGTCTCATGTCTGTACTCGGCAGAGGCGAGAGAATTGTCTGAGCCCAGGGGTTTGAGACCAGCCTGAACAACTTGGTGAGAACTTGTCTCCACAATAAGTCAAAAAAATTAGCTGGGCATGGTGGCATACGCCTGTGGTTCCAGCTACTTGGAAGCTGAGGTGGAAGGATCGCCTGAGCCCAGAAGGTTGAGGCTGCGAGCAAGCCACTATACTCCAGCCTGGGAGACAGAGTGAGACTCCAACTCAAAAAAACAAAACAAACAAAAAAAAAGGTGTAGAAAGAAGAATCCTAAAAGCCCTCTATATGGGTTGAACCTATTATGTGATTTAAATCTTCCACTCAGACTCACACTTGCAGGCTTAGGCTATTTAGAATACTCATCCCATTTCTCTCTTCTACCATCAAGGATGCTTCTTGGGGTTTGCAGAGCACACAGCAGAAATCTTATAATAAATCTACAGCCCCATGGTCAACCGGCCCTTGCCTTGTCATGCCCACATCCTCACCATAGAGTCCATGTGATCCATGGTGGATTCCTGCCGTGATGCCAAGGTCTCACTGCCTAAAACAGATGGATACAACAAAGTTGGACTCACTTAGGGAACTACACCTTAAACAAAAGCCCCTCTGTAGACAAGCACAGGAATATTCATGAGGGAAATGTCTCTGAGTGTCTGGCTGTGGACTTTCCCCCTGAGTTTTACCTTTGCAGGGTTACCCACACCTGCTCTCCAGAGCTGTATCTTACCTCTTTTTTCTCTAGGTTTGGATATGGCCGAAAATTCTTTATACTTTCTCCTTAGCACAGTGGAAAATTTGTCCAAAGGAAATGTATAGGTTGGATTTTTTTGATTTTGTTTACAATACACAAAACTATTTTAAAAAACCTTTCAGGCCCTACAAAGTGATTATGGCTCACTGCAGCCTTGACTCCTGGGCTCAGGCAATCCTTTCCACCTCAGCCTCTTGAGTAGCTGGGACTACACAGGTGTACACTACCATGCCTGGCTAATGTTTTGATTTTTTATGTTGCTATATTGCCTAGGCTGGAAAAAATGATTACTTTTGGTATTAGTGTATGCACATAGTAAATTAAAATTATTCAAATTATCTATGGTGCCAGGTGAGGTAGTACATTGCAGTCCCAGCTACTTGGGAGGATGGCTTGATCCCAGGAGTTTGAGGCCAGCCCAGCCTGGGTAACACAGTGAGACTCTGTCTCAAAAAAATAATAACTAATAAATATATATATATATATTTATGGTGACTGTAAAGAATATCCTATTAGCTGGGTGCAGTGGTATGTATCTGTAGTCCCAGCTACTTGGAAGGCTGAGGTGAGAGGATCACTTGAGCCCAGGAGGTTGAGGCTGCACTGAGGTAGGATGGCTTGCACCACTATACTCCAGTCTGGGTTAATAGAGTGAGAACTTATCTCTAAAAAAAAAAGAATATCCTAAACCGTAACCCATAGATTAATCAGCACCATTCAAAGTCAGCAATCCTAATTCAAAAAGGCCTGGGCAGCTCTCCTGGACATTCTCTGGCTCTTCAACTCGGTCTGAGGACTTCTTATCCACAGTCTTGAACAATCCTTCTGCTTTTTTTTTTCGCTACAGATTCTGCTCTCAAGGGACAGGGTCAGAATAGCAGTTATACTTTAGTCATGAGATTTTGCTGATTAACCAGGTTTAGCAATGCTTAAAACAGTATTTTTTCTCTTTTCCCATGTGGAAAAGTTACCAGCATGCTATCCTCTTTCTTGAAACAAAATATTTTTGGTCTATTTGCAAGATTATATCTGCTGGCACCAAATGAATGGTACAAGGTATTCAGATACGAGATAGGCCTCTATCTACAATCATTTGAAATTCTGTTGGCTAGGTAAAAAGTCAACATCACATGAGAACAAAGAGAAGCTCCCAGAAATCTTTTTTTTTTTTTTTTTTTGAGTTGGAATCTCACTCTGTTGCCCAGGCTGGAGGGCAGTGGCGCACTCAAGGGCACCCCAGCATTGACCTACTAGGCTCTGGAGATCCCTCCGCTTCAGCCTTTCAAGTGGCCAGAACTACAGGTGCGCGCTACCACACCCTGCTAATTTTTTACTTATTGTAGATACGAGGTCTTGCCAAGTTGCCCAGGCTGGTCTCAAGCCTGCGGGCTCAGGCAATCCACTCGCCTCGGCCTCCCAAAGTGCTGGGATTACTGGTTGAGCCACTGAGCCCAGCCCCAGAAAACTTTAGGACTTTATTAAGCAGCGTTACACTAACTGGGCCAGTCAATGCCATGCTGCCAAGGTCAACCGAGGAATGGGCATCTGTGTGCTGTCTCTTACCTGGGTTGAGGCCCTTGCTCTCCAAAATCGCCAAACAGTTGTCCTGAAACTTCTCCAGCAGCTCTACCTTCTGGGTCAGCTCCTTTAGCTCTCCCTGTTGAAGAGCCACACAGACAGATCAGGAACTGTCCCACTCCCCAGGAGTGGCTTCTTCTCTTTCTGCCCTAGGGCAGCTGGGCATTACAAGCTTGCTCACCCAAGGAGCCATCCATTAGGATTCCACATGCATTGCCCAGGGGTCTGGTGGGTCTCTTACCTGAGTTTCCGTCAACTTCTGGTACAACTGCTTGTTGACAGCCTCCAAGAGCTGGTTCTTATCCCTGAGCTCCTCTTCTGATTTTTGCTTACTCAATGGCTTGTAGCTGCAGTAACAGTTGTACTTATATGAGGAGGTGAGGGGATTAGGGGTATGGGCTATTGGCTGGTTGTGGTGGCTCATGCCTGTAATCCCAGCACTTTGAGAGGCAGAGGCAAGAGGATTGCCTGAGCTCAAGGATTTGAGACCAGCCTGGACAACTTGGCAAGACCTCATCTCTACAATAAATCAAAAATTAGCAGGGCATGGTGGCATGTGCCTGTAGTTCCAGCTACTTGAAAGGCTGAGGCGGAAGAATTGCCTGAGCCCAGCAGGTTGAGGCTGTGGTGGTCATGAGCGTGCCACTGCACTCCAGCCTGGGCAACAGAGTGAGACTCTGACTCAAAAAGACAAAAAAAGAAGAGTATAGGCTTTGGCATTACACAACAGGTTCAAATCCCAGCTTCGTTACATAGTGGTACATGGCCTGAAGTGAGTTGCATAACCTCCCTGAGGCTCTGTTCCCTCATTTCCAGAATTAGGACAATACCCATATCTAATAATGTTATTTTTATGAAGAATAAAATGCCGGGCATGGTGGCTCATGCCTATAATTCTAGCACTTTTGGAGGCTAAGGCAAGAGGATTTGCTTGAGTCCAGGAGTTAGAGACCTGCCTGAGTAACATAGCAAGAACCTGTCTCTATTTATAGTTTAAAAACAAGGGATAGAGAGAAAGTACATGTATAATTCTCAGCCCAGCTACTGACACACAGCAAACAGTTAATAAATAGCTGACATCATTATTAATATTAAACAATCTTTTTGAAATTCTCAGTCTTTCTTGTATTTTATCTTAAAAAATTTTAAGATATGCCCATATAATAGATCTGGAGCTAGAAACTATTTTTACAGACTTTTTAGCTTAGTATTTGTCTTTAAGACTGTAAAACTGGCTGGGCCGGGTGGCTCATGCCTGTAATCCCAGCACTTTGGGAGACCAAGAGGGGAAGATTACTCGAGCCTAGGAGTTTAAGAGCAGCCTAGGCAACATAGCAAGACCTCATTATCAATATTAAACAATCTCTACAAAAAAAATTTAAAAATTGCCAGGCATGATGGTACACACCTGTAGTCCCAGCTACTCAGGAAGCTGAGGCGTGAGGATGGTTTGAGTCCAGAAGTTCAAGGCTGCAGTGAGCCATGATTGTGCCACTGCACTCCAGCTTTGAGACTCCCACTCAAAAAAAAAAAAAAAAAAGACTGTAAAACTTCCAAGCTGGCTTCAGAGATGGATCTTTCTCCAGAATTTTACCACCACTCCCACACCACCTGAATATTCCTCTCAAGATTACTAACCACATGCAGCCCCCCTTATCCTGAAGTCTTCACACGCCTATTGATGGGCCATGGCTGAGTTTGATTTCCAATCAGCAGTAGTCCTGGAGTGGAGCCCAAAAGCTCTTGTCTCACACCTAACTATGGCTTGCCCCTGAAAATTCCACTCAGGTTTCTGTGGTGGTACCCAGACCATAATACATTAAACAAGTTCCACAAGTGGTTCTGATGTACAGCCAGGACTAAGACCCACTACCCTAAAACAGCAGCTAAGTCTAGTTACCCTGAAGCTTACCCTTTTCTGATGTTCCTCCTGGTGGCAGTGTCTGCAGCTTTCATCTGCCTATAAAAGCAAAAACAAAGAAATTAATCAGAGACTCATGGCCCTGTTGTTATTTGCTGTGAATAGGCAGGACAAAGAGCTTGAGTTTCTGAGGAAAGAACCAGAGATTGCATACAAGGCTAAGAGCACAGGCCTGCAAGCTCTGAGGACTGATGCATTTTTATTTCACCACAGACTATTAAAAAAAGGCTTATTAATAGAGAAGGGGCATTCCTCCTGACCACTCCAACAACCTGACAGAGCTGCTCCTTCTCAAGATAGTATGGCTATCTCATATCAACATTACTCACCTGGGAACTGAATGGGGTAGGGAGACAAAGGATACTAGGGCTGAACTGTATGCTCAGACCAGCAGCCTAAGCTAACAACTCATCCCCAATCCCCATGACTACCACTTAGGGCCGGTGTTTGACTACAGTACTGTCATTTGTATGCTCAGAGCAAATGGTGAAAGAGAAAAGAACAACTCCTATCAAAACCCCTGCTGTGTCTTTTCAGAAAAGGAGTTCAGTGATGCTGTATTATTCTGGGCCAGTGACCACAGGTTAGTTGTTCAGAAGCCTTGTGTTCCCCAAAACCCATTTTATTTTTCTTTTTTTTAAATTTTAGAATCGCGGGGTACATGTGAGGCTTTGTTATGTAGGTATATTGTGTAAGGGTGAGGTTTTTGGGTTTCTGACAAGCCCTACTCCCCCACCCTCAGTGGTGCCATGGTACCAAACGGGTGCTTTTGTATCCCTCATCCTCCCTCCCTTCCTCCTGTAGTAGTACCCAGTGTCTGTTATTGCTGTCCTCGTACACACATGTGCCCAGTCAAAACTCTGTTTTCTTCATTTTTTTTGAGTTAGAATCTCACTCCGTCACCCAGGTTGGAGTGCAGTGGCATGCTCACAGCTCACAGTAGCCTGGACCTCCTGGGCTCAGGCAATCCTTCTACCTCCGCCTCCTGAGTAGCTGGGACTCCAGGCGTGTGCCACCATGCCTGGCTGAGTTTTTTGTAGAGATGAAGTCTTACTATGCTGCCCAGGCTGGTCTGAAGCTCCTGGTCTCAAGTGCTCCTTCCACCTCAGCCTCCCAATGTTCTGGGATTACAGGTGTAAGCCACTGTACTTGGCCAAAAATCCTATTTTCTAATTCTTGGTACCAAGCAATTCCTAGGGAGATGTTCTAACAGGATACTCATGATTTGTTCTCACCCATCCTCTCGTCTTGGTTTGGTGACTTTCATAATATCATTCTCTGACCCTCCTGAATGAAGATGTTTGGGAGCATCAACTTCTTTGGACCTAACAGGTAACAGACTCTTAGAAGTGGCTCGAGTTTGTGTGTCTGCAAAGAAAAACAAGAGGGTAAAACAGATGCAACCCTGTAACAGATAGAACTCCATTCTAAGTTGTCACGAACTCCATTCTAAGTTGTTTTCATTCTGGCCAATCTCAACTTGTGAAGATTAATTCAAAAAAACAAAACTTGTAACTAATTGGCAGTAAAAACCAAAATTCTTTAAATGTGACAGTATAGCATATTTGAGGGGAGCCAAAATTTCATCAAAGACAGAGCTGTGTGAAGAGACTTGGCTCCAGTTCCTCCAGCCACCCCTAGTTCTTGCTGGTTCAGAGGCACTACAAGACAAAGAGAACAACTCTAACAACTGGAGGCTATAAATACGAGCATGGAGGTTGACATCAGCAAAGAGCTCATGAAAGGCAGGGTGAAAGTTAGCAGCAAAACACAGCCAAATCCTGTACCTTCTTGGTATGCTCCCCAAGCACTCTGTTCACTCCTCAAGCATCTGTGGAGCAGCTCTGAGGTTTTGGGTTTTATTTTAAACTGTTACTTAGTTGTTTTTACCAGAATGTCTTCCTAAGCACTCTAAGACATCTTTGTGACCACAGCACCTAGCAGAGTATCTGGCATTTGAACAAAGGCTCAATAATAGCTTGCTGAATAAATGAAACACTCCTCAGTTTCAAGGGTTTCACGGACCACCCTAACTATCGCCTCTGGTCTTCCTTCCCTCTTCCATGCTAAGTGCTTCTACCACCAGCACTTTACATGTGTTTACCCTTCCTTAAGTTTAGAGGCTTCCCATCTACCATTCTATTCTGATCTTCTTGCTAGGTCACTGTTAGATAACCAGAGAAATGGCCTTGCCACAATACTCTTCTTCCCCAAAGGGGAACATTTCCCCCAGCCTTATGTCAGCCGCCTATCACACACTGTCTGCCATTTCCATTCCACAGCAAACTCAAGTAGCTTATTTATTCTGGAGCTAAGCACCACTCTCCTCACCCACAGGCTTTTCTAGACTATATTAATTCTCCCTTTTTTCACTGTAACATGGCCCCTTAAAGCCTGACCTAAGGCCAGGCTCGGTGGCTCAGCCTGTAATCCCAGCACTTTGGAAGGCTTAAGTGAGTGGATTGCCTGAGCCCACGGGTTCGAGACCCACCTGGGCAACTTAGCAAGATCTTGTCTCTACAATAAAACAAAAATTAAGCTGGGCTTGGTGGCTCAGCCTGTAATCCCAGCGCTTTGGGAGACTGAGGTGAGTGGATTGCCTGAGCCCGCGGGTTTGAGACCTGCCTGGGCAACTTGGCGAGACCTCATCTCTACTGC